TATATAAAAATAATGTAATAAAATTAACAAGAATATTTCCAAGTAAAACAGACAAGTTTTTAAATTCTAAAAAGTAAATATTGTAAAAATAAATAAATAATAATACTATATTATATATCAATTAACACTACAACATAAAAATAAATCAAAAACTTAAATCCTATTAATATTCAAGACTTTCATACCACTTCTTTTATGAATCAGATCTGCAAGTCTAATTTTCACAGTGCCCAAGACAGTGTCCTTCGATCTTGTGGTATCAGCCACTACAATGAGATAAACAAAACACGCAGTATATTAGTATTTATAATGCTGGAATGGAGTGATAATACTAAAAACTAACAAGTAAATATTAAATGATTCTAAACAGTAAGTGTATAGACATAAAAATACATTTAAAAATGTGCCTGAAAATATGTACAGTAAACAGGTAAAATATCCTTTTCAAACAGAACTAAAAATAAAATAATAATCTATACCACTTATGTAATGTAATAATACTGAATCAGCAGACAAAACTCAATCTACCCACTAATTAAAAGCCATTTTTTATTCCATACAACACAGATCTACACCTACACACATTTTTGGATCTTTTGCACGATGGGATTATGCAATAAAGAGCTGCATGCTTTGTGGAGTCATATGTAAACCAAAGATATCAAAACATCCTTAAAAGAAGTGTGTCATGTGAAACAAAATTTAAATCTCCACATGTCTGTCTACCTTTCCAAGTCGGGTAACTCACTTTTGCGTGTGTCTCTGTTGTAAATGGTGAAGACGGCCACTGCCTCCTGCAGGAGTTCAGCCAGACTGACACTCTCCCTGCTGTCTCTCTGCACCAGCAGGTTACAGCAGAACTCGGCGTGATGTTCAAACTCTGGGCAGAAACTTCGGGCCGCCACACGTGTACTTCGAACCTCACTGTCCGGCAGGAAGGACAACTGCACGGTGATGAAGGAGTTGAGCCCCACTTCAGAGTAATACAGCAGTGAGCTGTCTGCATCTGCAAGAGCTCTGAGAAACAAAAAGATGGCAAATAAAAATACAATTTAGATGCCAAAATTATACTCCATGTAATGTTAAATCAATTTAATCAAGCTAGACTGCTGTTGGGGTAATTGGTTAAAAGCTAAAGGCAGATTTGAGGCAGACTGACTCACTTGGCTGCAGCTTGTAGACCGGCTGCTCTGTGCACCTGCACAACCAGCATCACTCTGCGGGACGGCACAACCCCACTCTTCACTCCCACACTCTTCATTGGTCGAGACTTGTACTGAACACTCACTTCAAGCAGCCCTACAGGTAAGCACAGATGAAAACAGGTTTTACTTTATTATATTGGTTTAAAATCCATATAACACTATATATGTTATCATATATGCAGTTTTAAGATAATAAGATATGCAACTACCAGGGGGCTGAGGCTGTGTGTCGACAGGTCGGTCGGTTCTTGGTACCAGAGGAAGGGAGAAAAGTTGTGCATCGGTTTGACCCTGTTTCTGCATGGTTACCATGGCACACAGTTTGGACATGGGCAGCAGTCCTCTGGCTACTAGCTGATCTCTAACATTTGGATAATAATACCTGCAAATGTTTCAATAGGCTTGTAAATAACTTTCCAAACAAATATTAAAAATATTACTAAAAATGAGACATGTTTTTAAATTCTCCAAATGTGAAAAATAAATGAATAGAATTAAATAATAAAAATATTACTAAATAAAAGCAAATGTTTTTAAATGCTAAAATGTAAAATAAAATAAAATAATAAAAGTATAAAAAATAAAATAAAATAATAAATGTATAAAAATAATAATATTGGCAAATAAAATATTGCTAAAATAAAATTATGCTTTAAATGTTTAAACGTAAAAAATAAATAAATGAAAATATTTCCAAATAAGAGAGACAAATAAATAAATAAAATAGTCAAAATAAATAAGTCATATTTAAAAAAATAAATAAAAATAAATAAAAATATTACTACATATGTGACATGTTTTTAAATTATACAAATGTAAAAAAAAATACATGAATAGAATTAAATAATAAAAATATTACCAAATAAAAGCAATATATTTTGAATGCTGAAATAAATAAATGTAAAAAATAAACAAATGAATAAAATGAAATAATAATAATATTGGCAAATAAAATATTGCTAAAATAAAATAATGCTTTAAACGTTTACAGTACACCGAATCTCGTGGATTACAGTTTGCAACTAGACAGATGTACGGTTACTTCCTCTACAGTCAAAAATCTGGGTGTTATATTAGATAGCAACTTGTCTTTTGAAAATCAT